TTCCAACATAGGGTCTCTACTCCCTACTTGATGTATAGGGTCTCCACTCCCTAGTCACTTTTCCAACATAGGGTCTCCACTCCCTAGTTGACTTTATTTTAGACATAGGGTCTTCACTCCCTAGTCTGCTTTTCCAACATAGGGACTCCACTCCCTAGTTGATTTTATTTTAGACATAGTGTCTCCACTCCCTAGTCTCTTTTCCAACATATGGGCTCCACTCCCTAATTGATTTTATTTTAGATATAGGGTCTCCACTCTCTAGTCTCTTTTCCAATATATGGTCTCCACTCCCTAGTTGATTTTATTTTAGACATAGTGTCTCCACTCCCTAGTCTCTTTTCCAACATAGGGTCTCTACTCCCTAGTTGATGTATAGGGTCTCCACTCCCTAGTCACTTTTCCAACATAGGGTCTCCACTCCCTAGTCTCTTTTCCAACATAGGGTATCCACTCCCTAGTTAAAGTTATTTTAGACATAGGGTATCCACTCCCTAGTTGAAGTTATTTTAGACATAGGGTCTCCACTCCCTAGTTGAAGACATAGGGTCTCCACTCCCTAGTCTCTTTTCAAACATAGTTTCTCCACTCCCTAGTTAACGTTATTTAGACATGGGGTCTCCACTCCCTAGTATCTTTTCCAACATAGGGTATTCACTCTCTAGTTGATTTTATTTTTAGACATATGGTCTTCACTCCCTAGTCTCTTTTCCAACATAGGGTCTCCACTCTCTAGTTGATTTTATTTTTAGACATATGGTCTTCACTCCCTAGTCTCTTTTCCAACATAGGGTCTCCACTCTCTAGTTGATTTTATTTTTAGACATATGGTCTTCACTCCCTAGTCTCTTTTCCAACATAGGGTCTCCACTCTCTAGTTGATTTTATTTTTAGACATAAGGTCTCTACTCCCTAGTCTTTTTAGTAATATAGGGTACACCACTCCCCCATCACATTTCACCAACGTAAGGTACGTCAACCCTTAGTTGAGGCACCATTTAGACAACTAGGGTAAACCATTCCCAAAGAATCATGTTTTCTCCGGGTATACCGTTCCCAACCTTTTTATTGCTTTCAATAATGAAGTAGCATAGAGTTTTATTACAAATAACTCACGAAATTTTTCTAGTGAAATCTAAGGCAGAAAAATTTCGTTTGTTTGTTCGTCTTGGTGTATGAGCAGGCTTTACCTCGAGGCACAGGGTTCGAGATGACCAAAAGAAGAAGTCTCAATCCAAAATAAAGAAAATAAAATAAAATAAGTGAACCCAAAATGCAGAAGCGAGTGAAAAGATGTGGATTGCTCAAGACATGACTGAAGTCACGAATATCGCACTTCCCGTTTTGATCAGAAAAGCCGGAGAAGAACGAACTAGCACCTGTAGCTAGCAAACATCAAGATTCAGATCAAAGTCTGCATGAAGAACCAATCAAGACTCAAGATCAAGTTTCAAAAGACTTATATATATGAATCTTGTAACTCATAACTGATAGGCTTGTTTAGGTTCTTTTCATTTTGATTTTGGTGTAATAAGGGGTTCAACAAGCAGTTACAACAACAACAACAACAACAACAACAACAATTAGATCATAGCTTTTCGGTAGTCCCAATTACCAAAACTTCCAGCACTACACTGACCTGATTTTTTTATAGCCAAGGATATGTAGGCAACCTCCGAAGCAAAGTTCGGTCAAACTTTTTCAAAATGCTTGCGAATGGAGTGTCAAACGGGCAAAAATTGCTCGTAATTGCTCACTTTATCTTTGCCCGAAAACTCTTCGTATTTCCGAGCAAAGAGGGGCAGCCGTGAGCACATAATTTTTGCCCTACGAAAATACTCCTATAGAATCCACAAAAACTAATTTTTTTTCTAATTGTTTCTGATTTTATAGAATTTTAGGAATTCCTTTTTAATTGTTTGTTTGCATTTAGTTGCATTTTTTGTGCATATTTAATATCTTAAAATCATAAGAAAATATCATAAAAATGTTCAATTCTTTATTGCATAGCATTTTAGATTTTAATTGCCTTTTTAGTTTAATCACATAATTAATAATTGAAAATCACAACAAATACAATGGTCATTTTTATATTTTTAGCTCTTAGTTTTAAATTTATTAGTATTAAGTTAATTAATTATTTAAATATTAGAAAATAGTAAAGTAAGTCAATTTTACAAAATGGTTTAATTTGGATTATTGAGTTGTAGTGGCTAATTTTGCAACATTTAAAGAATAAAAAGAAAGAGAAATTTTCAGAAACCACTATGTTTTAGTGATTATTAGCTTGTTATAGCTACCATTTACTAAATTACTTCCTATAGCTATGTTTTCAGTTGTTATAGACTGTATTCGATGTATTTTTGCTACTGTATTCATGAATACAATAGCAAAACTCGGCGAAAAACAGCTAAGCAGAGAATGTATTCGACTGTATTCGTGAGCTGTATTCGTGAATACAGTAACAAAATTTGAGAAAAAAAGGTCTTCAGCTTCAAGTTCCTCAGCCCTAAACTCCGTCCTTAATCCACCGATATCCATGCCGCCGCCATGTGGGGCGTCGCCGCCGTTAAATGAAGACAGTTGTTGAAGAAGCACCAATTTAAAGGATCAAACGGAAACTAGAGACAGAACTTCTTCAGATCTCACAAGGCAAACATGAACAATCAATGTAAAATCTAAAAAAAATTTAGAATGTGTAACACAACTGTGTGAAAGAAATCGCCGGCCGGAGGAAGGGGTTAGGGGTGACACAACAAGGAGAGGGGAAGTGGTCGCTGGTCGGATCTGTCGTTGGCGGAACTCAGCCCCTGCTAGGGTTTCTAAATGCAGGGGGGGAAAAATCGAGGAAAAAAGAGAAGAAAGAGGAAAGAGAAAGGAGGAGAGAGGGAGAGAGAAAAATAATACACAGCATATTTAATGACTTAAAGGTAGGAAGTGGCCATAAATAGATATTTTGCTATAAAAATTAAAAGGTAGCTATAGGAGATAATTTTTTAAAAGGGTATTTATTTATAATAAATAAAATATCAACCTTTGCTATAGGAGGTAAAATTTCCTACAAAGAAAGAGAAGGCTGCTAAGGTTAAAATCGGACTTGGTCCAGGAATCAGGCCCCGTCCTTTACCAAAATCCCCATGTTAGCCCAATTCCTGACCCAGTCCACAACTCAGCCTGCTCCGGACCTTCAAAACGACGTCGTAGAGGACCTAAACCCATTCCCCTCTCTAACAAGAACGAACCCTCCCTCATTTTTACTAACCCTAGCAGCCGCCTCCCTATTCCCATTTCTCTCAAGACCAGACCCCCTCACACTCAAAAAACCCTAGCCGCNACTTCTTTTGAAAACAAAAATCTGAAGTGCAAAAGAATAGATAGAAAACAAAAAAAAAAAGAAGAAAGAAGAGGAAGCTTTGAAAATCTGGGTTGCAAAAAGGTTTTTTTTTTAGATTGCATTGTTGCTGTTCTTCGCTGGTTCTCTGCTGCTTTTTGAATTTGCTGAGCTTTACTCTTCAGCTCGCCTTTATTTGGCCATTGTTTCTCTGTTTTATCCTGCATTTGGGGTAAACACAAAAGCTTTGCAATTACATTGATCTATAAAGTTGATTTGTTGATTTATGCCGGAACATGTTGAATAGATTCTATTGAGCTCGAAAATATATTGTTCTTATGTATCTGAAGACTGCTTTCTTGGTTTCGGTTTGTATGGTTATAAATTGATTGAAAACTATATGAATCTGGGTTGTTTGCATAATGGTTTGGAATCAGTTAATCAAGGTTTTAGGTGATAGAATTAGCACATCTCTGTACTCTTAGTCATAGTTCGAAATTTTCAATTGCTGGTTCGTGTATAACTTCGAAGTTTAAATATAGGCTATGGAATTGGAATTGTTGCAAAATGTTTGATTTCCTGTATGTACCAGTTATGTCAAAGATAGCAAGTTGAGTGCAGAACTTTGGAGTTACAGAGCCAAATGGGCTTAAGGCTAATTGGCCCTGCCAGCCCAGTAAATACGTGTTCACCAAATCGCTTGCAAATGCAATATGATTTCAATTGTGGCGATTCCTCAGTAAATCCAATTCCATAATGTATTTAGTGATCCTATCCAAACTTCTTTTTTTATTATCTTTCATACATGGGTGCGCTATTGATTTTGGCAGTAAACACCGTAGCTGTGAGACATTGAATTTGAGCTTCAAGGTTTAAGCTTAAGATCAATCAGACTAATTCAATTGCTTCGTTGATTTCTCATACCAAAAAATCTGCTGTGATAATGTCATCAATCTTTGTATGATAACACAATCGTAGGGTAAATGAATCTAACTCATTTCATAAACCTTATCCATACTTCTTGATGTCCTCACATGCAATCTCAAACTTCGAAAGTATCCAAATTCATAAATATCGTAGTTTGCTTTAGGCACATTTAAATAAATCATCGTAACTATAGATACGGTTCCCGTAACATAGTCATGATACATAATTCCCAATTCGAGTGTGTGTTTAATGTGACTCGACCATAACTTCAAATAATAATTATAATAAACATGTAAATCACAGGTACGTTTCACGTAATGCGATTGGCAATATGTACAAAAACAAACGAGCGCGACAATGCGACTTGTTCAAATAAATCTCATAAATATTAAAAACAATTAATAAATAATTAATTGCGGTGTAGAAGCAATAATGCACAATAGGTTTTAAATATGTAATAAATCACATAATTAGGACACTTATTAATAGTTGAGTAACCGTGCTAAAATCACGAAATCCGAGAATATCTAACACCTTCTCCCGGGTTAACAGAATTTCTTACACGGTCTTCTGGTTTTCGCAAACATTAAAACAAAGTCAATTTTCTCGATTTGAAATTTTAAAATAAATCGATGACTTGGGACACCATAATAATAATCCCAAGTGGCGATTCTAAATTAAATGAATAATCCCATTTCGAATCATGTCACTTTAATTGGAAAAAATCGGAAAAAAGGAGGTGTGACAACAATAAATTGCAGCATTGAGTATTCAATTATGATTTCAAATCTGGCTAAAATGTTTGACAACTTTTGAAACGTCAATCAAAGAGAAAATCGCACTTTAAGCTTAAACAAAATTATTACAAAGGTAAATGATCCTACAGCCAGTTTTCAGAATCTCATGAGTTGCTTCAGAATCACTAACTTTGCTCCAACATCCTATATTCCCGCAAGTTTAAATCACTCTTATTACCTGACCAACATCACAAGCTCGTTTATGAAGAATAAGGAATCAGTCAATAGAAAAACTTAAGTTGTTCCTAATAAAATAACCACAAGTGCAATATATTCAGCCGTAGAAGAAGGAAATAGACAAACTAAATCACAATGCTATATCAATATCTTCATAACATGACTGACTCATGATTCATTTCAGTACAACAGTAACATGTTTGAAGCACATTAGTGGATGAAAGAAGCTTAAATTGGGTGCTGCAGAATATGCCAGTCACATATGAGTTTAACAGGGAATTCCAATCTTGAATACCATACTTTAAACATTCAAAATCAGGAAATCAACACAGCAGGCCATAAACAATTCACTTCCTCATTTCATAAACTCAAACAGCAACTAATTTAGTGTAGAGCACACCTAATTTGCAGTGAATAACAAGGAGAGACCCAATAAAGGTTAAAAATAGAAGTATGAAGTCCAACAGTGATCAACAGCAGCAACAGAAAATAGCTTCAAATCTCAGTCGAAAATCGGCTTCGAAGAAGACAGAACTTGTATAAAAAATGTAGCAGAAATTACAAGTTGGGACTGCTAGGGTTTAGGTCTTGAGAGAGATGAGAGCGATGAGTTTGTGAGGTCTCTTTTTTGGGGTTGGGGGGTGGGTTATGGTTTGGTTCGGACACTTTTAAGGGGAGGGGAAGGTTAGTTCCTGGCCGTCCGATGAGAGAGGATGAAAGGCCAGGATTATGGGGGTGGGATGGGGTGGTGGGCACACATGAGGTTGGACCGGATAAAAAGGGGTTCGGGTTGAGGCGAGATTATGGTCAATTGGGGCAACTGAAGTGATCTTGGCCCAAAATCAAAACAAGACATAACCAAAACCTTTTCTTTCTCTCTCTCTCTCTTTTTTTTTTTAATTTTCAAAAACAAACATTTTGTTAAGCACTACTAATTCCCATTAATTTGCAAAATTAACCTAATATTTTCTAACAATTAACTAATTTGATTAACTTAACATTAATGAAAGGAAATTATCAATTTAAAACTAAAAGCTAAAAAATATAAAATGACCATTGTATGTTTGTGATTTATATTTAATAATGCATTTAATTAATGTAGCTAAATCCTAAATACAATTAAGATCTAAAATGATATGCAATGAAGAATTGAACATTTTAATGGTATTTTTATGATTTTTCTTTTTAAAATATTAAATATGCACAAAATGCAACTCAATGCAAACAAACAATTAAAAAGGAATTCCTCAAATTTTATAAAACTCAAAAACAATTAGAAAAAAAAAATTACTTTTATGGATTTTGTAGGAATATTTTCGTAGGGCAAAAATTACGTGCTCACAACTTCATGCTTTAAGAATTCAAATTTACACAACTCTTTAAAGTGTAGATGTTGATTTCCCTATCAAACCATTTCTTACGACCTACTTTAGTAAGTTTCTGCTTACAATCCAGTCAAAGTGTGTTAGAGAAACATGTTCAATATATTCGACTTCTTGATAAGTAACTTTATCTGGTAATCGATAGTAAAGTGTGACTTCTGCACAAGTTTCTTGCATATTTCATCATCAATGGTTCCAGAAAGCATTATATTTTTGTAGTAAAAGTTGAATGTAAAAAACCTGCAAGCTACATTGATGCATTCTCTGTCCAAAATGCCCACAGGATGGATGCCTTCATCCTCCACATCCCCTAGTATAACAGGTAGTTGACTTAGATCATGTTTCTCCATTAGAGTTAGAGCATACAGGGGATCTGTATTTGGAGTCACTGTGCATGATACCCGGCAATTATTGCCATTTGACGAGCAAACTCCAGCTACTACAAGCTCCTGAATTCAATATATTTGAAAAATAGGTAGTTGTTATACATGAGGATAAATTAGCAAAACCAGTTTTTTTAACTTAATGATACAATACAAAATCCATGTGAATGAGTAGTTTGATTCAAATAAAAGAACTATCAAAGTTGTTGAAACTAATCCAATGGCCAAATAATCATTTGTTTATTAAAAGGTAACATATTTGAAAAATAGGTAGTTGTTATACATGAGGATAGGTAGTTGTTGTACGTGAGGATAAATTAGCAAAACCATTTTTTTTAAACTTAATGATACAAGAAGGAATACATGATCTGCAATATTTTTACATCATGAAGCTATGGTAGTTTTTTTTTTTTTTTGGGACGGATTTTATGCTGGAGTTAATGGTATTTTTGGGCGAAAGGGATCTATTCCCGTGCGTAATGGTGCTCTTGGGTGGCGTTAATGGAGCAAAACGGAAACGAAATTTGAGGAAGTCCCTTTTTGCTTGCTGCGGCGCTCAGGGTTAGGGTTAGTGAAAGAATTGGATTTTATATGGTCATTTGGGGGAATATGAGCCATTGGATGTGGGAGGATGGAAGGCTCAGATTAAAGAAGGGGTGTCATGGGCGGCTTTCCAACCATGCCCCATGACCCCTTGGACGCGCCCCGTGGCGTCCTGGCCAGCTTCCCAATGCCCGTCGCCACGGTCGGCCCCGTGGTCTCGGCAGCTCCAAGTGACAAGCGCGCAAGTGCCTTTGTCGCCCCACCGATAGCCATCGCC